ATTGCAGTGTTTTGTTTCAGGTCCCATAACGCCATGCCCCCCATTTTAAAGGGTATTCCATAGCAGAAGACATTCAGAGGAAGGCCTAACAATATTGGAATACATTAATCTGAAGTAAACATGCACCTTTAGCTTGTGGCCTGATCCAAACAGTGCCTTTTCATGTGTTGACACCAGCTGTTGTATGATTTTACAAATAAGCTGGAGAAATATATTCTTACTGGGAATGAAATAAAGCATGCTGAGCAGCTTCACAGAGGAAGTTGCCTCCTCACTGAGAGCCCTTCAGAACACCTGCAGCTTGAGATATTCGGAGGTGTCGGTCCTTCTGATAAACTTCAGAAGCTGTTGCCAAATGTAATATATTACTGTTTGACCAATTTCAGTTACTGAAAGAGAACTCAAACATCAATATTTCACAGCATTTTTCCTCAGAATAACAGGCGGCAGTTATCCTGTGCATCCCCAATATGTTTACATCCTATGACAGAATGAATCAACTATCTTCCCAAAACGACTGATATGTTTCAGCTTTTATAGCAATGTCTCTGGTTCTGTGCTGTTTTACGCAAACAACCAAGAAAATGTATTCCCTGCCCAATACTGAGAAATATGAAACAAAGTCAGTATGGCCTAGATATTTTATTTTTTTAAATTCTAGCACATATAAAGCAACTCAAAATATAGCTTAATAACAAATGCCCAATAAAATTTCCATATGCAATAATATTATCAAACAAGTGTATTTCTCTCAAGAATCCTGGGTATTGTGGGTTTTTAATGGGAGCTGAGAGTTGTCCTGAGACCCCTATTCCCCTGGCAGAGCTACATTTTCCAGAGTGGTTTAGCAGTCAGTTCCTCTTCCCAAGTCTAAATGGAACTGAAGAAGGAAAAATGGTCTGGCAGCTATGATTCTGTGAGACTCAGCTTATTCAAGATGTATTGAGTTCCTGTATGAAGAGAGTCATTTTCACTTTCAGTCTGATAACGACCAGGATGGAAGAGGTGAGCCCTAGTATCTCTGATGTTATCATCTGCAACATTTGTCAGTACACATACAGAATGCAAAATGTGCTGTGTCTATGTGGGTGCTGCACACACACTGACTTTGAAAGACAATGAGGATTAGAAGATTCATTTATTCAATTGAAGCTCCATTTGATAGATGCAGAAATCCTGAGCTAACTTCCTCCATTGCAATTTTAGTCTTTCATTTCCCAGAGTTTGACAAGACTTTGGCCAAGCTTTAATGGAGTATGTCATTCAGGGAAGTATACAATGGTAAATTACTGGGACACATAAAGCAGGTTATGACAATAATCTAGGGATAAATCTTAGGAATCTCATAGATACAACACTAGAAGACTTTATACACACCCATCCACCATGAGATATCATTTTTTCCCTTTCTCAGTATCATAAATGGTGAACATTTGTATGAAAAGTTCTGAATATTTTTGTGTTAGGTGGAAATACTTGCTGTTCAGTTTTATCAAGAAACTGCTAATCTTGTGGCAGTCTGAAGTTCAAACCAGATGTAACAGATCATAATGGGTCTCTTAAAAGAAAAAAGGATGAGTCACTTCTAGAGGGCCAGTTGAGATAAGAGAAATGGAAGAGAGAAGAGGGATAAGAGGAATGCTTAACGGTTTCCATCACTGTCGTCAAAGGGAAGGTCCTTAGCTCAGTAACACAGCAAATGCTTTGCATGCAAAAAGTCCCAGGTTCAATCCCTGGAATCTCCAGGTAGAAATTAACTTCTAGAGACTACCTGATCTCAAATGAACCCACCACAGAGGGTGCAGGAGGCTAGCTGGCCAGGATACCACTAAGAGTGGGCGGTGGGACCAGAAGTGTGTAGGCCTGAAGGTAAGAGAAGAGATCCCACTGCATGGAAGTGCATAAGGCCAGTAGGCCTGGAAACAAGGGAGGAAGACCCCCACTTTGGCAAGCCCTCACTAGGAATACTGTACAGTATACAGGTCTGGTTGCTTTTTTAAAGGGAAAATGGGATTCTTGTGCCTTTAACAGTTGTATGGCAAGCAGAAATCCAGCAGGTGAAGGCTTTTCTAGAACGGAAACACAACTATGGGAAGAGCTCCACCATAAGAGTACTCTCTCTAATTTTGTGTTCCACCATGAAACCCATGACAGCCATGTTGTGTACTGCCATGGCTGCCATCATTTGACTGGTGCCCACAGCACTCTTTCAGATTTCAAAATGTGTCCACTGGTCCTAAAAGGTTGGCAATGCCTGGTCTAGTGCTAAGCTGGATGGGCCAAGTGTCTGACTCTGCATAAAGCGGCTTCCTATGTGAGTACGTTCCTATTTCCACACACTAAGAGCTCATACGGCAGGTTTTTACCTTTGCAGAGGTTGAATTGTGATGGAACCTGGACTGTTTTTAGCTAAAGCCTTGTTCCTTCCTCAAAACTGTCTTATTTTCTCCAGTATTTAAAACTTCATTTTACGAAAACAGCCCACAGGTTTCTTTTTCTCATTAACATATAAGAATCCCTTCTTTAAATTTCCCCAAATGCAACATTTCCCCCTTTGAGACACCTGGCAGCTAGACTGATGGAATAGCCACCAGCTGAGAAGCAAATTTATTTTGTAAATATTCATGAAGCACCAGTTAAAGGCATCTGAATTTTAAAAAACAAACCGGATTTTTGAATTTAATGCTTATAAAATCAAGCTGCTCAGAACCAAGGATATTAAATTTAACCACACAAAAAAAGTGCAAGGAAAAGCCTGAGGAAAACATCCCCATGGAGCTGTATAAGTGTGTATTTAATGTCTTCCTGAAATTAGCTGCTGTTGCTGTGCTATTCTAAATCACTATATACATATTGTGTTGAATGAACTACTGTATTAATTTTCCATTTCTGTGCCATTAACGTTTCAGCTGGACATGACAGTATCTCTGTTCATTGCCAGGTAGATGTTTATTTTTCAAACTAACTTCCAGAGATCTTTTAGAGGTATTTCTTGACCCAAAAGAAAAAGGGGCGGGGGTTAAAAGAGGGTTAACTAGACAACATCCTGAGAGATTTGCTTTGTCACTTTAAAACTACTGAGGAATCTATTTCTCTGCTACAACTGTTTATATCCTGCCTTTCAGGATATAAACATAACCAAGGCAGCTTACAATGAACATCTGAATACAAATTTTAAATAATTTCTATGTTTTCAGTGTAAATTGCATCATTTTTAATTGCATGATTTACATATATAGGAATCAGCTGCACCACAATGTTTTATCCAGCATATGCATACTTAGGGAGGAAACAATACATTCCATTCGCAATTATTTAAGTAGGTATTCTTACTCAAAAAAAGCACAGGGGTATATCATGGCTGTGAGGAAATCTTTGTGCATTTTCACACCCTGCTGATTTTGCCCAGTTATGTGCATTGGCAAGGCAGTTAACTCACCAATAAATTTGCTTTTATGGGGTGATGGTTGCTCTCAAGACCATCTTCCATGGCAAAAGAAATAAATAACTGAGGTATAAAAACCTAAAAAGACCATTTATTGTCAGAAAACATAACCAGTATAAAAAAAATTGCTAATAAAAAGAAAAACAACAAGTCTTTCCCTCTAGACCCTTTTTCCAAGTTAGCTTTTACTGGCTGCGGAAAAATGCTCCTAGCTCTGCCTTGTCCCATGTTGCACGCTGCTGTATCAGGGTACTGACCATAGAAAGCTTTCCCTCCCTCAGGCGATCCAATATATACAGAGTAAGATAAAAGGCTGCCCTGAGTCTAGCAATCACATTTTTCAGATCCTAGGTCCAGTCTGCTAGCATCCCAGCCGACTTCTTCCCCTCTTCTCTCAGCACAGTCAAATGATTGACAACCCAGACTGACAACTCACTGCAGGCTTATACGTCTAAAATGAAGCTAAACACATAATGCCGCTAATTAGGTAGACGCCAAAAGTGTGCATCTGCTGCCATAAACAGGAGTCAGGTTTTGTCATGTCACTGGGGACATAATTTCTTGAATGATTGTGGTGGCACGTCCGACGCTGAGTTCATGATGAATGCTATGTATGTGGCAGGTGCACCCAGAGCCACATGGCTGTGGGCTTAAGTGGCTGTATGTCAAGTTGCACAGGGCTTCCCATCATGCACTGTTGCAGTCCCATGAGCAGGTCTGGAGTTCTCACAGCCAAATTAATGTGCTAAGTTGTGGGTTGAGTGCACTTTTGCTGCCTCTGGAGGACAATTCACTCTACTGCTGGCTGCTTCTTTTCTTCCACCCAAATACTGCTTCTGGAACATGCCAGCGCAGGGTTTTTAAAAAATCCTCATAGCATATACTTAGAGATGTTTACTTTTGAAAGCCCATTTACGGTGCTTGTTCTCTGAGTCATAACTCTTACTAGTTATTTTTTTAAACAGACAGACAGACAGACAGACAGACAGACAAATGCTACCATGGGTGTAAAATCTTTGCCTACCTGGCTTGCACCACACTTCTGTTGAATAGATCACTTCAAGCCCAAGCCACAATTTTTCAGGCTGCTGCGAAACCTCCATTGAGAAGGTTTCTGGGGACAGGCAATATTATTTTGGGGGCGTAAGGTTAATGATTAGGAACATAGGATGCTTGCCTCAGGGCTCCTCCAGACAACCCGTTCAACATTCATCCTGATTTGCTGGTGTTTTTTGTTTGTTTTGTTTTTACAGATCTTCCTGTCAATCAATCATTTCTCTCTCACTTTTCAGTGCATTTCCCCCATCACTTTTCAAACAACAAAAAGTTGATTTTGTTAAAAGTGGATTTATAGAGTGACAGAACACTTTGATATACTTTAATTTGCGAACCTAAAGTTCTGGTATGTACTTGAATCCCTCCTACTGAATAATGGCGCACTTTAGAGGCACCCTTATCCTGAGTCAGCACACTAGTCTTTTTAGGTCAGTATTGTCTACACTGACTGGAAGCAGCTTTCCAGGTTTTCTGACAGGGAATCTGTCCCAGCTCTACCTGGGAATGACAGGGATTGAACATGGGACCTTCCGCATGCAAAGCAGGTGACCTAACCACTGAGCTACAGCCCTTCCGATGACTTACACCCAGGGGTGTAAGAAACCATGGTTTTCCATTCCGCTCTGTATTCGTCACATGCACCGCTGTTTCTGTCCCACTGCAGTTTGGCTTCTGCCAATATCGTTCACATTGCTGACCACTGTGGTTAAATTACGTAACTTACATCGATCGTTCCACACAAACACCCATTCATTTAAGTGCAGTGGAAGAACAAAGTAAACAGGAGGAGGATGCAGTTTCCACTCCCATTTTTTGCTTTTGTCAAAATTCTCTGACAGCTTATCAAACATTCCGAGATTTGTCTACTCAGTGGCACTTGTTTCCAGATAAGCTGGTGTAGGATTCCATCCTTAGTCTCTTACAATGCAATTCTGTACATAATTTCAGTTTTTCCACTACTCCCTGGGAAGTGTGTTACGGGCTGCAGCCCAAAACCACTATCCAAGCGAAAGAAAAAGGCCTTACCCCAAGTGCATGATCAAAGACGTAAATTGACTGCTTACCTTTTTGCTTTGATTGGTATAGAATACAGCTAATTAGAAAGGGTGGTGTGAATTGGCCCATCCATATTTTGTAGGAGTTGCATGTTTTGCCATGAAATAGCTCAGACCACTTCCCTGCCATCTACAAGCTGGTTAGATTTTCTTGGCAGATCAATTTCATAAGTTCTGCACGTTCCAGATGGTGCTTGAAAAATATATATCTGACCAGTATTCATAGTGGGGGGAAACCACCGAGGAAATTACGGTCCTGTAAACAATGAGTGACAAATCCAAAATGGAAGAAAAACTGCCTAGTTAGCAGCACTAAAACTGGACTTTAAAATAAAATAAATAAAATAAATAAAATAAAATAAGGCTTGGAAGCTGCCAATGTGGCATTTGATTATGAGTTTATGTAGCTATGGCTGGCTTTATTTATGGGCATAGTTTCTATTATAGATCCTGGAGACAACTAAGATTTATCACAGTATCTATTTTTATTTTTATTTTGTAAAGAAGAAAAACCCAACCCTAACAACCGAAGGGATCTTCATTGCCCTTCGAAAGCCCATTTACTGTATTTGTTATCTGATTCATTGCTCTGGCTTTTATTAATAAAAATGACATTTATTTCAAATTACATTTAAGCCAATCACCAAATTAATCATGCAGCTGCAATTGTATGAAGGGGCCCTTATCTGCTAGGACTGAAGACAGAACCTGCCAGGGGGCAAGAGCTGCCTCCTCTAATAATATCCTGCATTGATCATATCTAGTCTATTCTGGATAATGAAGAAGTATTCTGAATGTGTGTGGGAGGTGTGCTCAAGTGAGTAGAGGCTGCTGCTACAATTGGGTGGGGCTGGATACTACCAGAGGAAAGCAACCTCTGTCCTATATTAGTTCTTTTAATTTATTGCCTGTCGTAAGATCCAGAGGTCTTAGCTGAGACCTTGCAAACATTATGTTTGTAGACAGATGACAATCCAATAGGTGCAAAATGATTGATTAAGGATATGTACACATTAGTGGCTTAAATGTCCTCACAGCTCACAAGGTCCTCACAGCTCCACTGCCCTAGAGAATGCAAAATTTAAACATCGAAAAGATAAAATAACATTGTTGTCTACAACTGCCCATCTTGCAATATTATTGCTATGTCAATAGCATAGTGAAGACTTGGATTGTACACTTATAATTCTACTCAGAGTAGACCCATTGAAATGAATGGACCTAAATTAGTCATGACCATCCATTTCAAGGGGCTAATCTGAGGAGGACCTACATTGGACCCAACCCTCACTCTCCCACTTTGGACAAGATAATACCCCTCTTCTAATTTATCCCTTCAAGTCCCCAAGTGGCCAGAAGGAATTGAATGCAATGTGTGCCAAAGCAGGTGAACATTTACACAGCAACACTTTCAGCTGGGAAAGAAATTTCACCTCACACAAATCATGAAGTAAAGTATACAACAGGAAGCAACAAGGAAGCCAAGGGTGCTAAAAACAGGTAATTAGGATGAGAGAACACCAATGTGTAAATGCACGCTAATCAGCTTCTCTTAGGAAAGCATGCCATGGAAGAAAATAGTTATTTCTGTTAACCAGAGTGTTCTCTTATTCATTAAAGAATTATTTCATTTCAGTACAAGCATCATTGAACTTATACAAAAATGTGTTGGGATGCCGTAGTAAGGGTAGGCATACAAATAATAACTAAGCATGTTAAGTGGTTATTTTGTGTTAATGAGTTGGGATAAGTCATTAGTACATAACTGGTATCTTTTCCTAATGATGTTTTGTTTTCTAACTGGAGTGGGGGGGGGTGGATAACCATTTTGGGAGTCTGAGCGTACAGCTAGATATTTCTTTAAAGAAACATATTTCTTTAAAGTTACATATTAATTTCCACAGGCAATTGTCTGAAAATGGATGGATGCTAATTTATGGATTAGTTAAGAGTATCAATTTCAGTCAAACTGAGATTAGATGACTTTTTTAGCAGCTGCAGCTAAATGATCATATTCACATTCAGTCTTATGATTACGAACTGATGATGAAGAAGAAGAGGTGAGTTGAATGAATATCTTCTCAGATCCAAGAGGGACAAAGAAACTTAGCGGTCCAGGGAAGAGCCTTGTTTCCCCCTGTTTCTTTTAATTGTGCAATGGCAACAACCACCTGCAAATTGGGGGGGTGGGTTTGCATTTTAACTTGGGGTGCTTTTTTCCATCATAAATCTTTTTTTAAAAAAAATTAACAGACATAATGGGTCAGGTGAAAACCTCTCATTCCACTGTACAGTGGTACCTCTGGTTACGAACTTAATTTGTTCCGGAGGTCTGTTCTTAACCTGAAACTGTTCTTAACCTGAGGTACTACTTTAGCTAATGGGGCCTCCTGCTGCCACCGCACCGCCAGCGTGCAATTTCTGTTCTCATCCTGAGGTAAAGTTCCTAACCCAAGGTACTACTTCTGGGTTAGTGGAGTCTGTAATCCAAAGTGTTTGTAACCCAAGGTGCTTGTAACCTGAGGTACCACTATATTCAACTGCAATAGATGAGCTCATGGCATCATCTCTGCCAGCCTCCACATTTCATATGTGAGAATATAGATTTATCTTTACCTTATTGTGCAGCAAATCTAGAGCAAGATCATATAAATAATACAATAAGGAGAATGGGAGATTTTAGCCCATGTAAGACTATACTCAATCATCGTAGGATTCCCATAAATGCTCTACTCAGCCAATATTCTTATTGAATGTTCAGGACCCTGTACATTATGTGAGTGATAGAATCACTTATCAATGGAAGTGCTGGTGTGATGATAGCAGAAGTTTTTTGAACCTTACATCTGTTATAAAAAAACAAGTTCACGCTATAGGATCAACACTGTGGTAAATTAGTATTGCAGCATTCTGTGGTGTATCTGTGGCATTATTCAGCTCTTTGTTGTGGATGTTTTTATATGTTCTGTTATTGTAATGGTATTGAAATGATGAAATGTTGCCAATGCAAAGGTTTTCTACCACATTTGTACTCCCAGAGCAGAAATATGGAAACTGTGAGCCTCCAGATGCTGAGGGACTACAACTCCTATCATCCCTGTGCATCCCTATGCTGGCTGTGACTGATGGGAGTTGGAGTCCAACAATATCTGGAGGGCCACAAGTGCTCCATCCTTGAACTAAATGCACTAGAAGGGTCTTTAAACCTCTATACGAGAGAAAAATGATACTCGTTTCCCCAACATACTTAAGAAAAGGACTCTTACACAGTTGTACTCTGACTGGCTCAGTGTAGACCCAGATATTTCCTTGTGGAGGGTTAAATACCAGTTACCTTTTACCCTTGAGATAGAAGCAAAACATTTTATTTAATGCAGGTAATTTTTCCACTGAATTATGAATTCCAAAATAGCATTGAATAACCTTTCAAGCAGCAGACGTGAAGGCCAATTATTTATGTTCACTAATAGCTTCGAGTTTTGCATGATTTTTGTTATTAAAAATACCAGGGAATGAAGGTGTGCAGCATTTGGGAAGACGGATGGTTGCTTTTCATTTAAAATATCACTGTTTTGGAACCCCAGCCTCTTCCATGCCCTGAAATGCTGACCTAAACAAATAATTTCCTAATGTACTGATGAATTTGGGGTACATTTTGTCCATCAGTCTTCAAAATAACCTATTTCCTTTCGGATCTTTTATGGAATCACTAAAAAGATGAGGTCTCTTTTCAATTACCTGCCTCTTGGAATTACTCGTGCTGTATCATGGCAGACATCATTCTTAGTAAGTAAGGATTGCTCACTTGCTTATTTCTGCTGTGATGCTTTTGTTGCTATTGCAGCCATTAATCTGGATACAATATAAATGCTACTCATTCCCATCACTTCAGCAACGTGGAGACAAATACTGTCACACTTAAAATTGTGGAATTAATGAACTACCCACAGCAAAAGAAAACAAGGCAAAAGCAAGAGGGAAAAGAGGGATAGCTACATAAACTGGAATGCAAATATTCACTCCTAGGCTTTAACAAAGAAAAGGAAAAGGAAACATTGAACATTGTATGCCTGAAAATTCTACAGGTTGATACAAATTGTGTCTATTTGTTGTTTTTTAAAAAAATTGTTCCATAACTAAAGGCCTCTGACATTCAAAATGCATGTTAGAATATATGTCATAAATCAGTGGGTGTTTCAGGATTCCAGGTGGGCGGTAGGGGGTTCTACGGCACAAGCTGAATCCTCCTTCCATCAAGCACTGGTGGGCGGTAAAGAAATTTTGCCATCAAGAAAGATGCATTAGTGGGCGGTAGGTATAAAAAGGTTGACTACCCCTGCCATGAATAATTAGCACAAGCCAAAATATATCCAAAAGAGTGAAAATTTCAGCCATGTTGATTGAAATCCAATGTGATAGCACAAGCCAGCCTAAAAGGCTATCTGGTTACTCCCTTTGTTGAAGATCAATTCAGGATTATGACTGTTTAATGAAAATAATTAAGAAGGCTGAACAAT